AGTATCTATAAGGCCAACCATTAAACCCTGAGCTGCACAAAAAGTCTTCCCCAGGGAAACAGCAGCAAAGCAACAATTTAGCTCAACAACACAGCTCAAGTACTGGTTCTCACAGGAAGGTCCCCCTTTTTAGAAGTAAGCAAAGGACAAAATATTAGTTCTGGCCAAGGCACACCACCAGCACCTCAAGCCGTGGGGCCTGGGGCATGGAGCCAGGGACCGGCACCCCCCAACAACCAGGAACACCACCAGTGCCAAGGAGCATGCTAAAAACATCACCTCCATGTGGGTGGCCCAACAGAGTCACCACAGTAACCACGGTTGCCTCGAAAGTGACTATATGTCACAACCACCACACAGATGGTCCACCAGCCACTGGAGTGCATTGACACAAGGAGAGTCACCAGCAGAGACCAAAGAAAAGAATAGGATGTCTCTCTCCTCAAAGCACATTCCAGAGTGACAGAAGCAGCATCTACTCTATGATAATGTTGGGGGACCTGAACACACCTTTCAGCATTGGACAGATCATATAGGCAACAAATCAACGGAGTAACCATTACTCTTTCAGAGGGAGAGAAGAAATCTAGGGTTATCAGTGGTGGGAGGGGGGAGGGAGAGGGGGATAGGTAGAGAGCTACCATCACCAACCAATAAAGATGTACTTTACTGATGACTCAAATACTATTAGCTCAGCCACCAGTTTGGTGATTTTCCAAAACACTGAACAATTCTTGATAAGTTCTGAATGAAAAGTGAAACCTTCCTGATGGAGTTTGGATGTGTTGTTCCCTCCAAAATCCCCAATGTGGCAGTGTTGGAAACTGATTGAGTCATGGGGGCGGATCCCTCATGAATGGATAAATGCTCTCCCTGGGGGAGGGGGGATTAATAAGTGAGTTCTCGCTCTATTAGTTCCCGCGAGAGCTCATTGTTTAGAAAGATCCTGGTACCTTCTCTCTCTCTCTTGCTTCCTCTCTCGCCATGTGATCTGCTTGTACCCACCAGCTGCCTGCCACTTTTCCACCATGAGGAGAAGCAGCCTGAGGCCCATGCCAGATGCAGTTGTCCCAGAATCTTAAGCCAAATAAACCTCTTTCCTTTATAAATTACCCAGTCTCAGGTATTTTTGTCATAGCAACACAAAATGGACTAAAACGCTTCCCTAGATATACACATGTGGTAAGCCATAGCATTGATAGTCTCAATTAATTGCTTCCCCTATATCCAGGCCCTTTGCCCTGTAACCTGGTTGTCTCCTCCCACTCTAATTTTGGGTTTGGAGCATGGCTTTTTTGGCAATAGGATGTTCCCAACTGTATTGAAAGTATGTAAGAAAGAATTAAATTTTATTTGTACATGACTGTACACAATGTTTCCCATATATAAATGTCTGGAGGAATATTCAAAGCATGTGGCATGCAGGTTAATTCTGTTTAACACAAGTCATCCATCATCCTTGGTGCTTGCCTGCTTAAGCCAGCAAACACCTTCCAATAGAGACAACAACCAAACATGCCTTCCAACAAACTAAAACTCCCCTGTGGGGGATAGAAGATCCAACACTGCTGCCAAAGCCAATATACTTTCTGATCTTTTAGTTTTAGAAGCACTCATCTTCAGGCAGGAACCCATTCATGCACAAGATGCACTGATAGGGCTTTTTTAATCCAAACTTTATGTGACTGAGTATGATCTTTTCCAAACTATTGAAAGATGACAGTAGAAATATGGCAACATATTTTGAAACGTAAACTTAAGTTCTGCATACTATTCTCTATGCATGTTATACTTGAGATTTAAATGTTTAAAAAACATAAACAATAATAAAGCACTTGTACTTGAAGCCCAAAAAGTTTTGGTTACGAAGTTGGTACACCTTCATAATATTAATTCTTACCTTCTACACATCTCTTAAGTTTTTAAGAACACAGATACTGTCAATACTGTAAAGGACCAAATATATCCAGTCCAATATTTTGGTCCTAAGATGTACTCAGGCACACTATGAAAAAGGATGTTTGTCTTCCTTAACAAGCATTTACAACACTGGTATATTTTCCAGCAACCTACTGCAAATTTCCCTTTTTGTGTGTGTGCCATGTTTGCTGTCTTCAATGTCTTTCCCTGCCAGCTTAAGTCCTAGTCACTCTGAGAAACCAGCAAATGTTTCACCTCTTCTATGAGGTCTTCCCAATCCTCTCCTTTCCACCAAGAGATTGAGTCCCTCTTCTGTATAACTTAAGAAACTTCTTATTCTTATTATTATTTATCTAATACCATGTTGCAATTATTTGTTACACACCTGTCTCTCCAACTATGAATCCTTTGTCAGCTAAGCCTGTGCTACACATCTGCAATATCATCCATAGTACCTAGCAGTGACTGTCACTGTAAGTGCTTGAAGTGGTCTATTGACTTACATGCCTCTCTGTAGGATTTAAGATTCATAAATCCATGCGTCATTTCTAACTATTTACATATTGCTTCTACTTTATGATACAGTGAGTTCCCTAAAACCAAGTATTTCTTTTTATATATTCTAAATTTACCTTGATGTTTACAGCCTTAAAAAAGTTCCTTCAGAAATCCTGCCATATGTGACAACAAGGGTGAACCTTAAGCACATTATGCAAAGTGACTTATGCCAGTTACAGAAGGACAAATATTGTATGATTCCACTTATATGAAGTATCTAAAATAGTCAAACCCATAGAAGCAGAGAAGAGAATGGTGGGTGCCAGGAGCTAAGAAAGAAATGGGGAGTTGCTACTCAAAAGGTATAAAGTTCCAGTTTTGCAAGATGAATAAGTTCTAGAAATCAGCTGTACAACACTGTGCCTATAGTTAAAAAGACTGTACATATTGTACACTTAAAATTTTATTAAGAAGGTAGATCTTCTAAGTGTTGTTCTCACAACAATCAAAACTATATACTCCTCCAATCATAGTATTTTTGGACCAGTAACCACCTAACCTTATCTACTGACATGTTAATATGTTTTTACTTCTCCAATAGACTGTACCTTTCCAGTTTTGTTACTCTGGCTTTACTTACTGTCATTATATTTTTAATCTAAGAACAGTCATATTCTATTCTATTCTATTCTATTCTATTTTATTATTTTATCATTTCATTTTATTTTTTATTTTTTATATTTATTTTTATTTATTTATTTATTTTTATTTCATATTCTATTCTATTCTATTCTATTCTATTTTATTATTTTATCATTTCATTTTATTTTTTTTTTTATATTTATTTTTATTTATTTATTTATTTATTTATTTTTATTTGTGTGTGTGTGTGTGTGACCAGTAAGGGGATCGCAACCCTTGGCTTGGTGTCGCCCACACCACGCTCAGCCAGTGAGCGCACCGGCCATCGTTATATGGGATCCGAACCCGCGATGGGAGCGCCGCTGCGCTCCCAAGTGCTGCACTCTCCCGAGTGCACCACAGGGCCGGCCCTTTATTTTATTTTATTTATTTATTTTTTCTTAAAAGATGACTGGTAAGGGGATCTCAACCCTTGGCTTGGTGGATCTCAACCCTTGGCTTGGTGTTGTCAGCACCACGCTCAACCAGTGAGCCAACCAACCATCCCTATATAGGATTCGAACCTGGGGCCTTGGTGTTCTCAGCACCACACTCTCCCAAGTGAGCCACGGGCCGGCCCTTCTTCTTTATTTTATTTTTGACTCCATTCTGATTTCTCAAATTCTGCATACTAAGTCAACATTCTAAGAAAGTAACTTCAAGTTTATACTGCAAGGCTAATACCAAACTTTATACAAATATTTCAAGTTGTACTTTAATCAGTAATATATTTTATGCTTGTTGTCATTAAAAACCTTATACTCTTTCATCCAGCTTTCCTGTGATGTCCCACATCAGCCTGGAATTGGATTACTCAAAATAATTAGTCATTGGCAAAATTTGGAGACTTTAAAGTGTGCCCACTTCTCTAAATCATGTAATTAAAAATATTTCATCGTGGTGAATTTACATTTTATCACTATTTTAGAACCAAAAATTCACATGCATCATAAGTAGGCAAACAATTTTTAAGATATTACAACCAAAGTATTATGAAGAAAGAGAGGTAGAGTGCAAAATGCCTGCATGTATTTTCTAACGGAGAAAGAGAAGACTGAAATGAATAAAATCTTAACATTTCACTTCTTTTATGTCTATTAAGGATATCAGAGATATGTGACCAGAATAATACAAGTTAAGTAATATTTCCTTTCTAGAAAATATCACTTTCCTGTGAAATAATAATGGCTATTATTATTAATCAATTGGGTTGACTAGCTCATGCTTCCCCCAAGATTACAGATGCCCACTTCCTTTGTTAATCTTACCAGTTTTTAAAATATCTGATAACTACTTTTACTAATAGAAGAACACAGAACCAAAAACAAACAAGCAAACAACAGAATTACTGGAAGCCCACTAAAGGCAAGAAGGAAAAAGCTCCCCTTTCAAATCTTTACCTGATTTCTCATGCACTAGGCCACCCCTGAGAACTATAACCTACTCCCTAATGAACACCTACTAAACATTAAACATCACATATACATCCACAGTTAAAAATTTAGTAAAAAGAAAGAAGGCCTCAAGTGAAAACTGATCATACAACAGCCCAGCAAGTTTAATACAGTATCACAAAGCTAATTCTCTTTCTCTTTTTTCTTACTTTTTGACTTTTAAAGCAAACACCAACAGTAACTTCAATACTAGAAGTCCTCCAAAAATGCCTATTACATTCAACACTGATGAATTTTAAATACATGTTTCACCTCGGGTTTAAGGTAAGTATTTCTGTAGTAGATATTAATTTCAAGTACATTATTAAATGAGTACACTCTAAAATATCTAAATATGGAATTCAAAAATAACTTTTTTTACACAGGAAAATTCACCATTTTAAACAACTTATTAAATCTTATTAAAATGACTGCCAAGAAAAAATTGAAAATTTTAAAAACACTTACCTCATTTCCATGTTTTTGCAGGAATTCAATTTCCTGTTGTGTGAATGTTGTCATGGAGATAGATTTCACCCTGTGTGGTGGATTTAACCCTCGCCTAAAAGATAAAATATTTTACAAAATTTACTATTATACTGTATTTTTAAAATGACACATTTAATAATTCAAAACATTTTAGCACATTTAAACTTGGAACAGCATTTTCATTCTGTATACTTCAAGTACTTAAAAATTATTTTAAACTATTAACCTTCACAATAGAAGTGTTTTTTTGATGGAAGAAAGACTATATGTAAGAAGAGCTCTATGGTAAGGAATTTTTTAAGTAATTATTTAAATATTTTCATATTTCCTAAGAAAGAGAAAATGATATGTTAAGACTAGAGCTATGCAAGTATTATCAATAGCTAATATCTTTAAATAAGCTTGAGGCTAATTTAGAAAACTACTTGGATATGAAAACTAACATAAGGAAAGTTGAGGTAATTACCCAGTACAAGTAAAGTCCCATCTCTCCATCAGTTCAAGTAAGAACTTATAATGAAGAATACTTTCAATCATCCCAGAGGCAGTAAGTGTTCACGAAGAAACCATAGGGACATGGTGAAGAGATTCAAGAACTAGCTGGATACATGGTTAAATGACTTTTAAGGTCCTTTACAACCCTGAAGACTTTTCTGTAAGAATGGCCTTAAGAGGACCTTTCCTCGATGATGTTTTATCATACACATGAAAAACGGTACAAATGCACTCAGAGAGAGTAAGAACTATTGACATTTCATCTAACTATCACAAAGTGGCTATTCACCCGCAAGAATAAGGGTAAATAACCGATGCGAAGTTCCAAAAAATTACTTTGGGGTTACGTCCTCTCATAAAGGCCTCATTTGGAATCTAAGTTCTAGAGCAGATTAGTAATATTTTTATGGAATTTGTCAGACTCAACTTACAATCATTCATACTAATTAGAGATTTAACAATGACATAAAATAATAAATGAACCAAAAGTCTTTCAAAAATATTCTGGAAACATTTTTGAATAACTAAATATGGTGTGGTGTGTAACATTCTAGAAATGCACTGTAGTTTAAGTCAAAACACTAATGAGAATTCAAAATTAATAGACGCTCTTCAACTTTCATATCCTGCTTCTTCTTTCTCCCCCTTCCACTTGCCAGAGATGAATGGAATACCTCTCAGATCATGATCTGAATTCAGACAAGTTACACTTTATCTGTTTAACATTTTGAGGTGGAGAAAGGTTAACTTGGGTTTTGCTGATGTTTTGCTTTGGTTTGTATAAATTTTAAATTAATAAATTGTTTTCCTTCTTGCTCTTGATAAGTCATAAAATAAAGATTGAACAGGAGGAGAAACTAAATAAGAGCAATTTTGTTCTAGTAAAACTTTCAAACTTAACTGTGAAGTAACAACTTCAGTATTAATAACTTTCAAGTGTGTTTACAACTTGCAGTCACAAATTAAGGCTCTAAAGATTACTTAAAAATTTTCCAAAAATAAAAATTTAGGAAAGTCGTAATTACTCATTTAAGACAACACTTTTTTTTCCAATTCATCCATATTATGAGAACAAGACAGAATTCACCATTTTCAGGGAAGTTTATTAATTTATTTTATATATATATATATTCATATCCACACCCTACCTTATCCCAAAACAATTTATGAAGGATTAACATATATATATATATATATTCATATCCACACCCTACCTTATCCCAAAACAATTTATGAAGGATTAACTTATTATTGTTCTCTCAAATGCCTCTACTCCTTCCCTCTCACTATGCAACTTTGTCTCTTCTTATTTTCTAATATCTCCTCCTTGTTCCAGACAAGCTTCTACCTTTCCATCTCCCTGACAGTATCATTTTAAGAAATGAAAAAGGCAAAAGAGTAACTTCCTAATGAGAACATATCAAACACTATTATAAGGGTGAATGTTTTGGAAATTTTGGAGCAAAAAATTATACCCCTGTATTTCTCAAACTGTTCAATGAGGAAACAGCCCTTCCCAAAGCTAACTTTGACTCTTTAAGTTACACTAAACAGATGTAATCTCAGGGACGTTGTATAGTGCATAGCATATTTACTGATGTATCTACAAGTCCTACCATATCATAGGGTCCATTTATGCACAAAGAAGGTATTCATATTACCTAAATAAATGAACAAAATTTTGAACTTATGAAACAAATAAACCAGAATGTACTCATAACATATGAAAGAACATCTTTTTCCACTTAAGAACACTCATTTCAGCATTTCCTTAAATGAGTTCTCTCAGTGCACTTAAAATAGGATTCAATTTACAAAAATGGCTGACACAAATTTGCAAAGCCGTATTTATTACTTCAATTGAGTAACCCCAGGGAAATTTCACACGTTAATGTTGCTTTCTCTAATTGCTTTTTTATATTCCATTTATTCAGGCAGATTAACTATATTCTCAATGAAAGGATATACAATGACTTTTTTTAGCATCCAAAAGCTTTGTACGTAGATATTACATGCTTATAAAAGAGTTAAGTAAAAAACTGAAGACTGATTCTATCAATCTCTTAAGCAGCATTCAGACTGATCAGTTTGCAGTGAAAATGAAAAGAATAGTCTCACATACTAATGGCAGGACAAATTCACCAATTTCTATCAAGAACCTCATTCATGCCACCTGACCCAGCAATAACACTTTTGGGAATCTACTCTTAAAAAAGAGGGCCGGCCCGGTGATGCACTGCTACAGTGCGCCGCTTGCGAGCGCAGTGGCGCTCCCGCTGAGGGTTTGGATCCCACATACAGACCGGTTCCCGCTCACTGGCTGAGCGAGGTGCGGGTGCAGCACCGAGGGTTGCGATCCCATTGCCGGTCCCGGTCCGGTACGGGTGCGACACTGAGGGTTGCGATCCGTTGCCGGACACGAAAAAAGACAAAAAAAAAAAAAGAATCTGAGGGGCCGGCCCGGTGGCACACTGCTACAGTGCGCCGCTTGGGAGCGTGGCGACGCTCCCGCCGAGGGTTCAGATCCCACATACAGACCGGCCGCTCACTGGCTGAGTGAGGTGCGGGCGCAACACCGAGGGTTGCGATCCCGTTGCCGGTCCCGGTCCGGTACGGGCGCGACACTGAGGGTTGCGATCTGTTGCCAGTCACGAAAAAAGACAAAAAGGAAAAAAAAAAAAAAAAGAATCTGAAATGTAGCCAACAAATTATGTAGAAGATGTTCATCAAATGTTATGTGTAATAGAAAAATATCAGAAACACTTCAAACCAGACATTCCAAAATGTTAACATTCTTTGCATATAGGTGATGGGACTGAATTATTTTCTTTTCAATTTATAGTCTTCTATTCTCTCCAAGTTTTCCACAATGAATATATATTATTCTGTAATAGAAATAATGGCAAATCCAAATGACTAGTAATATTAGCCAAAAAATTTGGGCCTTTAGTCCTGGCTTTATGGATGTGAACATCTGTGCTGAAGAATTATAGAAAGAAAATAAGGGAAGGAGAGTACAGTCTTCCTTTCTAAGGCCTTCTCTGGATTTTTCTAAAACATGGAAAACCTTTCCTCCCAAATTCTATGATATGCCCACCAACATCAACACCTTATCTTCATTTCTCTAAATGAGGGTTTCTTAACCTTGGCTCTACTGATATTTTGGGCCAGATAATTCTTTACCGTAGGGGGCTATCCTATGCACTGTAGGATATTGAGCAACATCCCTAGCCTCTTCCTACTAAATGTCAGAAGCACCCTTTCACCACGTAGTGAAAATCAAAAATGTTTCCAGACATTGCCAAACCTCTCCTGGGGAGCAAAAACCCTCCAATTGAGAACCACTGGTCTAAATACAACAAATATGTTAATTACCAAGCAAAAGAAATCAATGTTAATTCCTCTGGATCTTTACTGAGATATAAATTCTACCAAGGCTCAATCTCTCTAAAACATTCTGTATCTTCACCTCATACACAACAAACAGGTAAATTTTTTCATAACTTTAATCCCAGAATAACTAACAGAAAATATAAATATTTTTTTCTCCAAAATGATAAATAACAAAATAAATACTATACAAGTTTAAAATTTGTATAATAAACATGTATACACAAGCGTACTTCAAAAAGTTCGTGGAAAGATTCACATTATCTTTTAATTCTATCTTTCCACAAACTTTTTAAAGTACCCTCACATATAAAAATTTAAAATAGAAAAGAGACTAAGGAAAGCCTCCATAACAAATAACCAGGAATGAACTATAGGATGTAAAGCACTCATACAAATTAGTGGGCAAAATATAAGTTAATAAGGCAGAAGGAATTAATATTTACAAAGTACCTAGACTGGTATTTTGCATATTTAATCTCATTAGTTTCTACTTCCAACAGTATGGAAGACTAGTAATCCTGAAAAGACTCTCTGCTAAAATATGATAGATATTTCAAAAACTACAGAAAAAATTAACATATTGCTAGACTTTCTAGAAAGTGAGGGAAATCTCTAAGGACTGCCCCTCCCCAAAGGAAAAAAGGAACAAAAATTTTTAAAAACTGAGCTGAACCAGAAGCGAGGCCCACATTATACACAAGATGCAGTAGGTAAAAGCCAACAATAGGTAAGAGCAAGGTGAAAGATCTCAACCTTAGATATCCCTGTTAAATCTAAGACCTGGATGGGAAATAAAGTAGCTTCAGGTTGCTAGGATCCATGGATCCCAGCAGAAGCATATGCAAATCTTCTCTAGACAAATGCGTTTTCAATTTAGGCTGTCAGGATTTGCAAATATCAAGTTGAACAAAATATGAGGCTGAAGTAAAAATCATCACACAACAACAAAACAAACCACTGAAATTGAGTCAGTAGAAACAACTGATTTATACCACTTCTCCCCAAGACTTTAGATATTGCAATTATCCATTACAAAATATAAAACAAATATAATATATAGGAAACATTAATAAATGAAAGATGAAATATAAGTGAACAAGAAATATGTAATCATCAGAATAATGAAGCAAATTTTAAAATGAGAATTTTCAGAAGTGAAAAATTACAATGTGGAAATTAAAAATT